TCTTTTCAGACATACAGCTAGCTCTCTGTTCAGATGTTTGTGGATGACGGTTATCACCACTTAGCCATCATCAGAGGCCTGTGGATTTTGGGAAGGCGTCGTCAGTCCAAAGGCTTATTGTTGTGCTTGGTACGTGTTTTAAAGCGTGATGCTGTTCTTAAACGTCACATGGCAGGCTGTCGGACGATGCAGCTGGATAGTGACCCGTCAGTTTGCTGTCGCTCCTATATGCCGTGGGCTGAATTGCCTGACAAACGTTAGCTGAGATACCCGTGAAAGTGCACGCTGCTATCTGGATTAGTATGTTGCGGCGCAGCATACCAGGCGGGGGGGGGGGGGGGGGGGGCAGTGTGCTGTCGCCGACGGCTTTTTGGGAGGCGGCGCCTCGCCGTCACGTAAACGCGCTGGCGGTGGCCGGAACCAGGCCTTTCCTAGGGGTGGCCGGAGCCGGTAGCCGTCGGCGCCGCCGGCGTGGCCGAGGTGGCCGCCACCGCCTCGGGTCCACGCGCCGACGGTATTGCCGCGACGGGCTGGAGGCTGGTGATCAGACTGGACCGGACCGTCTCATGCCGCTTTAGAGATGAATGCCGGTCCCAGCGAGTACATGCGCCGTCAACTGGTCGAAGGGCTTTGCAAGGTCAGGCTCTGGCGTCTGTGCGCGATGCCGGGCGGCGCAGAGCGGGTCGCCCGAAGTGCCGGCCCATCGGGACGACTGGTCGGCGTCTTGGCCCAGTAGGGGTGCGAGCGGACGCTGGGGCACGGCACGCTCGGATGCGCCGCGAGTCCTCGCGCTCGGCCTGCCGACGGAGGTGGGCGGGCGCCGAGTCCACGGCTTGCGGCGGGGTTGAGGCTGGCTGACGGCGGTCACCGCGTCCGGGGGACGAAGCACGGACGGCGTATAACGGAGCTATCATTGGCACCAGCAGTGGCGTAGGTGTACTGTCGTCCATAAACGGTAAGAAAATGCGGATGCACATGGATATGCGCCACTTTGGCAATTTGTGACAGGAAACTGCTGTTCCTAGTGATCCGTTCGCTTCAGTCACTGATTCGAGCAGTGGCATGCGGATTACGAATTACGGGGCGGCGGTTAGTTGATAAAATCGCACCAGCGCTGTTATGCACGTCTTATTTAATGTCTTAGCTGAACGAAAGCGCCATAACATGCAAAACTAAGACCAAGGTGATTGGCAGCCGGAGTCTGGTGAACGAGCTGTGCCTGACGGCGCGCCGGCTCGGCTCGCAGGAGGCACTCCAGTGCGGCCTCGTCAGCCGCGTGCTCAGCGACAGACAGGTGCGCCGGGGCTAGTGGCCCGCTGATGGGGACGGGTGGGTGTACCGGGATCAGAGACACGGGACGGGGTGGGTGCACCGGGACCAGAGACAGGGAACGGGTGGGTATACTATTATCAGTGATGTGGACGGATTGGTATACTATACTCAGTGATGGCGACCGGTGGGTATACCATACTCAGTGATGGGGACGGGTGGATATACCATACTCAGCACTGGGGACGGGCGGGTATACTGTACTCGGTGATGGGGACCGGGGTGTATACTATACTCAGTGGCAGGGACGGATGGGTGGGTGATGTAGTGATGATGCGGATGGGAACCTCAGTGATTGGGATGGTTTGGTACTGCGGAAGTAGCGACGGACGGATGGGTGATCCAGGCCCCGCTACTGAGCACATGCCCGCATGAATCCCACCGCTGTGCCCTGTGCTCTGGCGACAACCCACATCTCTAATCCGGAGATCCGTTCTGACGCCACCGCCCGATCGTCTGTCCCGCGTGCAGAAGCCACAACAATTGGATGGTGCGGGGTTAGTAACCAGTGACACGGCCCGGCGTCCCCGGTCCAGTGACGATTCTGTTGGCCTCCCCGCACCCAGTGACGGGTGCTGCAGGTGGCTGGCCCGTACCCGAAGACCGAATCCCGTCAGTGCTGCCACCTTGTTGCAGAAACAGGTGACGCCTCGCAGCATGTTTATTTGACGAGGCCCGGTATACTGTCGGTTATCATAGGGCGCACCGCCTGCCAGCTGGGCCTGTTCCAATGCTAACCAGCGCGAAGGCTGCCGGTTGCGGTCGTCCTTGGCAGCCCGTGGCCATGAGGGTGTCAACGATCCGTTTTGCATGCCGGATGGTGCACCGGAGTGGGCGACCTGGCTTTCATGCGAGCGAGCTGGTGGCGGCCATAGGGTTTGATAAGATTTAGTGGTCTGGGTCTATCCGTAACATCTGGAGGCGAGAGCTATACTGCATAAACAAAACAGAAGGTGACAATCTCAGCTATTCGTGAGCGTTTGTGGTGCCAGAAATTCAGAGCAGGTGTTAAGCATGAAGCTTCTTTAATGTCTGACCGCAGCGAAATAGAGGAAATATGCAGCCACAACTAAGAGGGTGCCAAAGGCACCTATACTGGCTTTCGACGACCGCGTGATTTCGTGGATTGGGAACAAACAATACACGCTTACCGGAGTTACCCGAGTTTCTGCGGCCTCTATTTGTTATGGGAGGTGTTTCTAAGGCTAAGGGAGTTCCTAATTCTTCTTTATGTAAAAATAGATGATTTTACATGTTAAAATCTTGCCGCATTTTGAAATTTAATCGTAACGCTGTTCAGTGTTAAAAACAATAGTCGCTCCGCACTATATGGAGAGGTACTGATGGACAGGCAGAATGTTTAAAGATATAGGATGGTCCCATATCAACGATCCATATAAAAAAGATAGTGGGCATTTTGAGATCAAAGTCAAGTGATTGGAGGTTGCGTTATGTTCCAAACACAAATCGAAGCACTGATGGCTAGAAACTTCACTTTTTCTTTGCAGGCTTTTGTGGTGTATGGCAGTTGTTTAGGGAGCCTACGCGCCAGGCAAGTGGCAGTTGCACGAGAGAGTTGGCCTTGATGAGGTGGCGCATGGCGGGGGCGCGACGCGTTCGGACGCCTGGGACGTTATATTATTGTTTTGTTGTTATTACCGAAGTATTGGGAAAATACTCACTTTAACACCTGACTTAGTGTTTGGCCGGGCTGTGAGAGTGGACGATACTACAGCTTTACAATGCATGCCGCGAAAAAAGAGCCACGTTCTGTAACCACCTCCGAAAATGATGTCGGGTCCGACAATTGAATGTGTGCAATACAGTGATTTTTATGTCATGTCTTAACCGGCGGCGAGTATTCAAACCACATCTGACTGCATCTAAGTGTCTTAAATAGCATTGCAAATATGAAACCAATAACAACATGAATTCGTTCTGAATTTCATCCATAAGTGTTGTGTCGGAATGGCGCATTGAGCGCCAGGCGTCAAGACAGGAGGCGATACCTTCCACTACTTACCGGAATAGATGTAGCGCCGTAACGCCGTTACCACTATAATACGATTGTTCGTGCGTTTTCATCCATGATCCGCATTTATTGCAGCCCCCAACTACTTGGTTGATTTACTCATTGCCGCAATATTCTCCCGCTAACAATAATGATGACTCTAACTCCCCGAGGTTTTCAGTTGGTTTCCTGTTGCCTTGTGTCCTTCGCCACGCGTCCACCACAGCTATGCATCGCTTCTTCGCCGTGCTGACCTTGCCCAGTCCCTTCACCACCTGTGACGGCCACGCAGTCCTGCACTTACGGATTCCATGGCCGCAGCACTTACCGATTCCACGCAGTCCTGCACTTACGGATTCCATTGTCGCAGCACTTACAAATTTCATCGTCGCAGCACTTACAGATTCCATCGCTGCAGCATTTCCGATTTCATTGCCGAAAAAGGGCGAGTTTTTATTGCAGCTATATGAGTGGCTAGCAATAATAACTAAGCTAAGCATCAGTCACTAGCGTACGGCGTGGTAACATAGCCAATAATCTGTGTATGACTCGTGACTTCGGGGAAACACAGATCAGAGATGCTGTTTACATTGTGAAGCCCGCCGGTTCGTGCCGGGCAGCGTTCCAATGTTTTCTTGAGCCCTGCAACTCCGTCTCTTTCAGGCCTACAGCTACCTAACTGTTTGAATGCTTATAGGCAGCGGACACCATCTTGCCACTGCGATCAGATGCCTGTTCATTTTTGGAGTGCACCGTCAGTCAAAGCTCTATGTTGTGCTTCGTACGTATTATCTGACAGCTACTAAAGCGTAGAAATTGAATGTATTTTGTAAAGACACGACACAGCTGGATTAGGACCCTGAGTTTTCTGTCGTTGTTCCTTTGTTGCTGCTGGTTCGCATCAAACAACAGCTGAGAAAGCCATGGCGTGCTCGCATCGGCCTGCATATTTGTTGCGGCGCAGCATACCATGCCGGCGACAGCGTGCTGTCGCTGCCGGCTATTTGCGAGCCGGCGCCGCGCCGTGACGTAACACGCTGGCAGCGAGTGGGCCGGGTTTTCCCTGGGGGTGGCTGGGTCTGCGGCTGTCATGCCGCCGACAGGACCTCGGGTCACGCAACGACGGCATCGCCCGCGGCGGCTCGGGCTGGTGGTCAGACCGGACCGGACTGCCTCACCACGCGGATGAGGGATAGCTTTGGAGTAATGTTGATACTCACGGCAAGTGAGTAAACTGGCTGAAGGGCTTTGTGAGGATACTTATTTCAAATGCTCGTATTGGGTGCTCTCCAAGTCAGCTTGCGCTGCTGTTTGCCGAAATTTAAACATTGAGTGTCATTCACTGTCCCTCGGGTTAGGAACAGGTAGGGAAGGCGGGGCTTGACTCCCTTCCCCACGCCCCATTTTCCAACGGGAGTATTGACCCCATGGCGATACCTGGAAAGGATCTTTCAAAGCTGTAATTCACCTCTGCGCAAACTTCCTGAGACGCTTCTGCGCATATGCCCTGTTCGTGATGGTCACGGATAAGCTTGTCTGCATGAACGACATCCCGTTTGTAGGCCACAGCGGCTGTTTTCATAGGTACCATGTCCTTAACTTTCGCCGTCATCACACGCGGCATTTGCTGCGTGCCCTTTCATCAAACGAAACGGTCTCGTCACTGGGTGTATTCAGCCAAAGCCGACAAAACTGACGCGGCCGACGCCTGAGTGGCGCCTCCCTCGCCGTTGGCCCCCGCCGTTGTGTCCGCCCCGCCGCCCGCCCACCGCGCCCGCTGCGCCACCTTTAGGGGTACAGGCCGAGCGCGCGCCCGCTGGTCGTCGATCTCCTGCTGACGGCGTCGGCGGTTGGCGCGCGCCATGATGTCGCGCAGGTCGTCAAACTCGGCGCTGTGTGCGATGCCGGCGGCGCCGAGCGGGTCGCCGAAGCGCGGGTCCATCAGGTCGCGCCGGGTCGGCGTCTCGGCCCAGTACGGGTGCGAGCCGACGCTGGGGCACGGCACGCTCGGGATGCGCCGCGAGTCCTCGCGCTCGCCTGCCGGACAGGGGCGGGGGCGCCGGGTCACAGCTAGCGGATGGCGGCGGGAGTCCTGGCCGCCAGCCGGAGCCCGTGGCGGGAGCCCTGGCCGTCAGCCGGAGCCCGCGGCGGGATCCCCGGCCGTCCGCCGGAGCCCGCGGCGGGATCCCTGGCCGTCCGCCGGAGCCTGCGGCGGGAGCCCTGGCCGTCCGCCGGAGCCCGCGGCGGGATCCCTGGCCGTCCGCCGGAGCCCGCGGCGGGAGCCCTGGCCGTCCGCCGGAGCCCGCGGCGGGAGCCCTGGCCGTCCGCCTGAGCCCGGCTGGCGGCCAGGTCGTCGACTTCACGTGGCAGGCTGCACGGACGCAGTGACAGGGACAGGCGGTGCATATCGGCGCTATCATCACACACCAGCGCGGCGTGGGTGTGTGCTGCACACAACGCAGGATATGTAAATGGTCACGAATGCACAGCACGTGGACGATTTGTGACAGCAGGCGTAACACTCTTAAATGTTCAGCTGGCTTCAATCACTGACTCCAGAAAAGTGTCATGACGGTTACGAGATTAAAGTGCCGTTAGTAGCGCTGTTATGTATCGAGCTCAGTTGCGCTTCATTTCAGCAGGCAGTTAAGAGTGTTTTTACGCTCCCAGTGTCGGTTAGATTAGTCCTACCTGCGCAGAGTGATGTCATATATTAGTTAGTGGTCCTCCGTTGGCTGGGCTCCAGAGGTTGGCCGGCGCCTTCGGAAGTCGTGCCATTCCACCTTCCGCTTGGCAAATAGTCTTCCAAGGAGTTTTTCAAGATCGTTATCTTCGGGTGCGTGGAATTTGCATCGTTAATGCCATAAGTATAGTCGTGCTATGCATTATACCCATCTTTCATGCCAAAATTGCTGAGTTGGGAGATAAGCAACTGATAAATTTACATCCGACACGTTTTTAAATACGAGGCACTTTGTCTCATAAGACCTAATTGATTTCAGGACGTGTATAACCCTTGACATTCGAGGCCATCGATTACGAATCTGTTATAATGATTCGGGTTTCACGTCTCGCAGAGTTCCAGGGTCGTTTCGAGACGGGATGCCTTTATTGGGTACCATGTGGCATGCGGTGGTGGTGTGGCCGGGACCCGAAGCGGGTGCCGACGGGTCCAGAGACGAGCATCTTAACCAAGACACCACTACCGCTCCCTACTCGTCTGCTACGGCCTCCGGCAAAGCCGTCATTCAGATTCGAAACCCACTGGCATATATTGGGGAATACCCTTGTATTCGCTCCCAACATCCGTGTATTCGTCTTCCGTAGCAGGGTTCCTCCGCGGCGCAGCTCGTCACCAGCGATCCTGAAGTCCCAACATCGTCAAGGCGTTACCGTCTCCAGACATCGCCCAGCACTGCCCCGGCTCTTTTGATCGGATGTCAGTGCATCTGCCGTCACAAGACGGCACACGAAACTAGCTCAGCCGCGCCAGCGCACCACCACCGTCGACCCGTCCCTTCTCGCGGCGCGTCACGCGGGGTGACGTCACGTCAGCGGAGTGACGTCACGCCGGCTGTAACGGGCGGGCGGGGTCGCCGCCGCCCCCAGGCGGGCCGCCGCTGACCGGCCCGCCAGACGGCGCCCCCGCCGCCGTCCGCGCCGCCGCCGCCGCTCTAGAAGCGCGCCGCGCGCTTGTCGGCGTCGGCCCGGAGGTCGCGGTGGCGCCTGCGCGCGCGGTCGATGATGCCACGCACGTCATCGTAGGCCGGCGCCATGGGCAGGTTCACGTCGTCCAGCGGGTCGGGCGCAGTGAAGAACGGGTCGCTGAGGGGGTCCTTGGCGGCGGCGGCCGGCCCAGCGGCGCGCGGCGGCGTGCGGACCGGCAGCGGCGCCGCTGGTATCACCGGCTCGCTGCGTGTCGGGGTCGTATCGCCGTGATCACCTGAGGTCAGAGGCGACCGTCAAGGCCGGATCAGCCGCCGTCGGGGATCGGTAGGGGGGGGGGGGCAAACACCTGTGCAAACCTGCGAGAGGTAGGACACCTTTCCGATATGCTTTTTAAGATTGGTAGGAAAATAGCTGATTGCTTGACCTCGATGAATTTAACCACAGCTTAACCAGATCAAGCAAAGATAGATATGTAGCTGACGGTCGAGACTTTCAGCATAGTGCTCCAGCACTGCGAGCTGCTTGCAAAAGCTTTGTGCAGCCGTGAGGGATGGCGTGTTAAAAAAACGGGCTATGCTGAGCTCTAGTCATTGGTTCGTTTCCACTGTGTCCACCGCCAGACGGGAGATTGGTCAACACGCGTCTGGTGGCCGGCTAGATACCCTTTGCTCGGATGGGGGGCCAATTTGATCCCGCTGAGATCTTGGGAACTAAGAAAGCTAGAGACACCAAGTTTGCAGTGTCTTGACCTGTACGTGAACTTATTTAGGTCAAAGTAAGAGGTTCCTAGGTCATGACCTTTGGGTCAATTAAGGTCAAACAAAGTCAAATTCCAGGTTGGTCTCCAAAGTGCCCCCAGAACCTAGATAACTGTTTCTAAGCAAAAGGTTGCTTGTTCATTTCAGGTCAGTGACCTCGTTTAACCTATTAAAGATCATAATGACCAAAATCATACAACACTGCTCTGTTTCATGCACCTCAATAAACGACAAAGATTATGCTAGGCAGAATGTTTCTAAAAACAAAATGTTCACCAAGATAATTTTAGGTCAATGACTCATTCTGATCTCTAAGAAGTCCATTGAAGATGCATAATGCGGCTTCCGCTTTCAATAAATTTGAAATGAGCACCAGGAACTATCCTAAACAGCAGGCCTTAGAGTAATAAAACAGGTTGGTTTTGATCTTGGCCTGACGCTCATACCTGATCTTAGGTCAACTTAATTTGCTCCCTCAATATTTGTGTAGCCTAAGAAAGTATCTCAGAGGCGTATGGCTTCGTCTAACACCCCGTGGTTGCATCAGAGTAAACGATTACCCAGAAATTGACCTCGCTGAAACCATGGCCTGACTTTGACTTGTCATAGGTCAGCAACCTTACAAGGTACATCTAAATTGTTGATACCAAACGATCCGCTATTCAATTGTCTATAGCTATGCAGCATTTGGCGCAGCTTCGGAAAACATTTTGGAAAAACCTCGGCGGTCAATTTGACACCCACCCGAGCGCGTGTTAACTGGTAAAATGACACCCACCCGAGCGCGTGTTAACTGGTAAAATGAGAGCTTGGCGTTTTGTTGAAACATGGGTACCAATCTGGTGGCCTTAGTTCTGCACTTCAAGTCGGTGTTTTTGCTGTTAAAGAAGCAAATGTTGGTGAAGCCTGTGGACTAACCGTGAAAAGCTGTATGAACCCTTCGAATGTACGAATATTGCTCAAAAATCCCTTGATAAGCAACGTTTTATCTTTATAAACATGAACGGATGAGCGCAAAATCAAGAGTGAATGTCCCATGCATTTCTGGACGTTTTTGTCCCATCAGCCATAAAAGACTCTTTCTGCAGTTGTGAGATGGCAGCCACTTAGCCGTGGTGGTCCCACATGTTCACTTTTTACGCCGCATCTGATGAAAAATAGCACATCACGAACAACTAAACGCATGTCCCCATATTGGCCATTTACTGGCGAGATGCTGTTTGGAAAGGATGCATGTCGTTTAATATCTACTGGGTGGAAATAAACCTCAGCCGTCATCATTCCCATCAAGGCGTAGAAAATAAAACTGGAATATCTGTGGTAAAACTGGACAAAGATCATTTTTGTTTGATGTCTGTCGTGCCTATGGTTTGCAGACGGAAGTGCGCAGGCTTCTCTACATGACACGGTGTTCCATCCAAGCACAGCCGCCGACTGGGGAGAAGGAAGCAGCGGGGCAGCTTGCCTCTTAACTAAAAATGCAGCTCACCGTGCGTGGTGTGGATCTCTTTCTAACGCACTACAGCACAGCTGAGTTTTTGGCATCCATACGCTTTTACATCTTCACATACGTCGTGGAACATGCGGCACAACTTCTTCGCTAGAAGGATTCGAGCATCTCACCGAGGCCCTGACCCGAGCATCTTGACCTCAGGGTTGTTACTCACTCGCCGTCACGCACGGCAAGGCCTCTTTACCACAGCCTCTTTCGTTCTGGGTAGCTTGACCTCCACGTCGATGCTTCCAATGCGTGCTGGAGCGGGGACGCTGCTAACAAGGTAGCTTCACTACTCTGCTCTCGCGCTCCAGGGTCTAGCCGCTACTGGGTGTCTATTGCGTCGCTCCCTACACCACTCCGGAAGAAGCATGCGCGGCGCGGCGCCGGCCCCACAGGCCGCTTACTGAGCTCCCGTCCAACCTACGGAGGTCAGGTCAGTTGCCGGCCGTATACTGCGGCACGGCCGGCGCCATCCTCAGCTGATAGACGGGTCGCGTCTCCTTGACCGCCACCAGCGCCTGCTTGACCTCGACGCTACGCTTGCTGGTGGCCACCTCCGAGCTGTACTGACGGTCGACGCGGATCGAGTCGCTGACCAGAGGTGGAGTGGTGCCGCGCTGCGCCCGGGACTCGACTGCCGGCGCCGACACGGGTCATGTGCGCCGGGTAACCTCGGCCGAGTTCCATTGACCTGATCTGGGCTGACCTGGACAGACCGCGGGTGTCGGCGCCGACACGGGGTTAGAAGGGCTCCCACAGGCGACAAATTACTGGTGTGCTGAGGGGTAGTTTGATGAGATCTGGACACAAAACTGAGTTGGTTGTATAGGACTCAGATATTTATAAATTCAGCTTATGGATACAACCGTGATGCGTCTGTCCGGACAAGCAATGCGCTTACGTGGTCGTTTGTCCGAAGGAATGCAAACTCCCTACAACGGCGGTGTTCTAACCGCTCCTAAATTTCGGATACGATAGGTCGTGCGAATTTTGTTAAATGTTGTTTGCAATAATCCGCCGGGCCCTGCTTCATCTGGTTCCCGAAAATGCGTGCGACATTTGTATTGTATCAAAACCACAACGATCTGCTTCGACCGACGCTTCCCTTGAACTGAGCCTCTGACTGCTGGTGTTCGGCATGGTGCACTGTGGGGATGGCAAATGACCTACCGACCTTCAGAAACAAAGACGAGGTTTCAAATCGCCCTGACCGACGCGTGAGACACAGCGTCGAGTGCTCACCGCTAAAGCACGTCGGTCCCGGCTGGCTGACTGTCACCTGGTCACAGGACAGGCTCCCCACCTGTGGTGCACGTACTGGCACGTGTCTACATGACCGAAGCCGAGGCCGAGGGCGAAGGCTCGCATGGACGCTGCGCTGGACCAGTCTCCACCCCTCACGTAAACGCGCTCGACCAACGCCCGAGCCCTGCGCGGCGGTCCGCGGTCTTGGCTGTCGACCGGTATCGGAGCCCCTACCTGTACCGATGCGGAATGGACCGCGTGAGCGGTAGCGGTACGACGTCGGGGCCCCGTCGGCGCCGGCTCCGGGCCTCTGCCAGCATTCCGCGCCGTTTTAGGTCGGCGACGTTGCCAGCCGCCGAGCGGAGCCAAAAATACGGCCGCCGCTGCAGCTCCAGGCGGCCGGCCGCGGCCGGTGCCGGCTGGCAAGGCCCCGACCTCCCCGGCCGACACGCAAAAACCTCTCGGGGTCGCCACGTCGCGCCGTCCACCGTCACTCCGGGATAGCACCCGGTCCCGCTGCCGGTGGACGCAGATGGCGCCACCTGCGGCCCTCCTCAGCGGCGGGTGTGGCCATCGCACGTGCCGGTGATGATCTGCCGCTGCTGTGACCGTGGTCGTTGCAGAGGGGGAGGGCGACAGTTCCGGCCGTTCAGGGCCGGGACGGTGGTCCGGCCTGGCAGCGTGCCCGTCCCAACACCTGGGTGACGGGCGGTGACGTGCGGTGACGGTGGCGACTCCCGGCCCGTCGCCAAGACCCGGGCCATGTTCTGTCCCCCGCCCTCCCCCCGTCCCCCTTCGACTGGGCCGATGATGGCTGCTGCCGCTGGCGCTGGCGCTTGCGCCGCCGGCGGCGTCAGCCGCAGCAGTCAGCTGGCGCAGGGTTATCAGCTGAGTGTATGCGCGTTTGCAGCAGCGTTAGCGAGCGGGATGCTGTAAAAGGCAGGCGAGCAGCACACATTCCCGGCGCAAGAGGCAGCGGAAGACGGCGTTACCATGGTTATGACCCTGTCGGGCGTCCCACAGCTGGGGAGCGCTGCTCTGGACGCAGGCGTACCTTTCAGGCCCTTCATGTAGTTGAGCCAGAAGCCGGCATTGCGTTCCAGCGGGCGGCCGATGGTGTAGAGGTCGAGGTCCCGCTTCCAGTGCACCATCGTCGGACACCTGGCCGCGTACGAGGTCACGTCAGCGGCCGCCTCGGTGGATCGGTGATGGGGACCTGCTGAATTATCAAGATAATTATCAAGAAGATTTACGCAAAGTAAAAGTGCACTGAAATTGAAAATTGAAACCGAAAAAGCATCAACATCTCTTCGGAGAATTTCACGCCTGATGATGCATCTGGGACCTGCTGAATGAAGCAAACTTCCAAATACTTTGAAGAGATCTCTCGACCGCGTAGTTAGTCAAGGGGTCTCAAGATGGCGAAAGGATCTTTGCGAATCGAAAGAATTTCGGCTGGCAATGCTCCCGACATGAAGAAAGACCCCGCTATGTCCCTTAATGCGAAATGGGTCCCTTGATATACAAAGGGACCATAGCCAAGGGGTCACCACACGGATAAGGGGTTCGTAGGTGGTCAAGGGCTGCCGATTCTAAAAAGTCTCGAGACTGTCGCAGGTCCTGACCTAGTCCACAACCCCAAGGTAATGAAGAACCAAGGCACCAAGATGTGCATAGCCTATAAAGGAACTAGGTGACAATTAGACACCTGGGCACGGTGTTGGAACTCCAGGCGGTTTACGCGCTACAGGAAGTTGAAGTTTCTGAACTGTCAAGGGCACGAAGGTGATCGACGGATACTCGTTTCTGACTTCAGCTCTGACCTCGCTTTTCGACCTTTTCGTCGTGCCTACACACCAGGCGGACTGGATGTTTGACCACAAATCATGACGGAAAAGGAGATCGCTGCGCAACTTGCAGGATTACAGAACAGGAATAAGGTGGTCATGTTGTGTTACGTGGATATTCCGATGAGAAATTGCAAGCACATGATGTCAACATGAAATTGTACATATATATATATATATATATATATATATATATATATATATATGTGTGTGTGTGTGTGTGTGTGTGTGTGTGTGTGTGTGTGTGTGTGTGTGTGTGTGTGTGTGTGTGTGTGTGTGTGTGTGTGTGTGTGTGTGTGTGTGTGTGTGTGTGTGTGTTTGAAGGAGCGAGCGAGGCTGCGTGTTTAGGACGCCTCTTCCCAAAACCAATCGGGACCTGCAGCATAGCTAATCCGTTGTTGGATCTAAAAGCCTTGGCAAGCAAAAATACCGCTCCGCTTTACTATTGACGATCGCGGACACTTTTCCAAGCTGTGGTTTCATTTGCTCACGGCAATGAACAGAATTTCAACGTTATGTGCTTTATATTGAAAATTTGTCTTCAGGCCAAAGTAAGGAAAGGGCTACAAACAAACGTTCACGATTTCTGCCCACGCTGCGTACACTACTGAGTGCCGTAATGTATTAGGTTACAAAAAACGGCGTGCATCATATGCATACCTGTGTAACGATCGACATGTTCACACGTTGTAGTAGCATCTACAGGTACTGTGCTTGCGCCTGTGCGTAAATGGCGTACATTCCCCTGTGAACCTTCCATCGAATGGTAACAACAACCTTTCAGCACTGTGAGCAAGCGTATGAAGGATGTTTTTGATTTCTATTTTTAATTCTCTGCCATAGGCCCAGTCTTAAATTGATAAGCGTCGCGGGGCGAAGTTCCCGCACCACCCATCTGATCTAGGAGTGCTTCAAAGCTATGGCCAGGCAATGTCACAGAGGCGATCGTCATAACGCCGCGCGTCTACACGGCTATTGACGTGGGCGATGCTTCCCGGATCATGCAGTAGGAATCCGTGGATGATAATGACCGGTGAATGGGTCGTGAAAAACGTGATGCGAAGTTTGGAAGACCAACTTTCTTTCCATCCTATCCAGAATTCGGCCACAAGCGTTAAGACTACTTGTGTGAGCTTTGCATCAGCCAGCTACACTGTAACGCTTTTAATAGAAAATTGCGCTTTGGCAAGTGAAGACTTGATTAGAACTTCAATTTATGGCATAAATGTTTAGCTAAGAATGAGGTGCTAACACCTTGATGTCGATCGCAGTATACGTTAGTTGTTTAAGAGAAGACGTCCAATAAACGTTCGCCGGTTTTATCAGCTAAATCTGGCAACGCCTTGCCAACTGCGCATTTTGAACAACAGCCTTAATGGCCGCCTTTTCTCGTTACAGGTGTTCTGATCACATAATGTGCCTGTTTCATACTTCACTCAGTTTAAATGTTGGCGGACCCCCCCCCCCCCCCCCCTCTTCCCTGCTGGCCGAATCTCTAGATCACTGCAATTCTTTAATTCCCTGTTTACATCAATTATTGATGTCCTGGCAAGGTATTGATGCCGTGGATTTCTCGAGGGTGGATCCAGGCTACATTTGCGGCAGGTTTGTCAAACAGACGACGGACTTTTCCGAAGCACACAACCACGGATCACTTCCTACCGTCTAACACCTGCGTTTCATCGACCAATACTGCACCCACATGTTCTTCTATAATGAGTTATTAGGCTTTGAAAATCATCAGAGGTTCACAGGGATCGTTCGGGCTCGCTGCTACTGAGCGCATCAGTGCTTTTGCAAGTATGTTTACATTTGCGACGTCACGGGTAGGTCCCAGTGACGTCCCTGCAGCGTTCTTCATTGCTGTAGCGCTAAATCGCCGGGGCCTTCCACTGGGCTCCAGGTTGAACAAACTGATCCGATGCAGGATCGGCAGTCCCAATCGGCATGTGTGGAAATGTCGATAAAAATGCACTGTCCCAGTTTTAATGAAACATTCCTTTACATGGTTATCAATTTTAGCATGATTTCACTGGGCCCTTGTACAGCTTGTTCCCCACAGACAGGGACGAACGCAAATAGTTGCCCCCCGGGATGAGTGCCCTTGCTCCCTTCCCCACCCTCACGAGATAGGTACAATATGACTCATAATATGCATGCGACTAACTGCTGACTTTGAAAAAGTCTAGGCAGAAACGTAGAAATGAGAAGATTGATAACATGCATTGTCGTCCAACGACTCGCGCACTTAGCTAGGATTTCAGAGGAAACTGTTGAGCTCTGACCCTACCTTCGCCCCTCCTTCCACCCGAGACCCCAAATAAGTGAAATGCACCTCTCTACTCAATGCCAAAACATGCCCCGCTCTCGCACGCGCTGTGACCGGCACCGACATCTGACGGATCAGACCCTATGTTGTGGGTCGTCACAGATGATGAGTCCGCCACAAGTGCTTGTTTCACAGCAGTCCATGCAGCCGTTCGTGCTGTGCGTCTGGTTCAAGAAATACGCACAGACAGGGGCGTGCTCGGAAATTAGTGGAACCGGTCCCGTTCGGCGGCGGTGGGGTCACCGGCCATCAGCGCACTTTCGTTTCGTATGCCAAATGCATGCGCTGCTGTTTGTATCTATGAGGCTTCGTGCACGGCCTCTGAATAAACTCAAAGCACAGTGGTGTACAGTCGAACTTCATAATGTTTTCCGTGTGCGGCAATGAAATGCGCTCCGGAAGAGGAGAGTGGGTAGCACCGCTGCGGCGTAATTTCCCCCCTTTTGTTTCGGCTGGACTAAGAAATAGTCCATCTGGCTGTATTCCTATGTCTGGTCAGGACCATGGTGCGAGGGGGTTGCAGCACTGATCAGACTCCTCATGGCAGCAGTCGCACGTGCCCCCGCGCAGAGCCCTACATGTGAAGCCCAGCTCTCTGCAGCCCGCATCCGTTCAAATGACAACAGCACCATCACCAGCCTCGCTCAAACGAGAAGCACCAGCTCACAAGCACCAGACACCACCGCTGCGCAGACCGTATCACACACCCTCCCTGCGGGAGCCGGCCACTGACCTGGGTCGGTCTCACGCCCGAGCAGAGTTAAGCGATGACCTGCGAGAGCCCCTGGCGCGCCACTGGGTGTGGCCGCCCGGTCGCCGCCGGACCCCACCGGACCCCGGCACGGGACCGAAATACCGGGCGGCGCGCGCCGCGCCGGCCTCTCCGCCGGCCGATGCGCCGCTGGGAGCTGCTCCGGGACGCGCCGCTGAGGGCTGCTCCGGGACGCGCCGCTGAGGGCTGTTCCGGGACGCGCCGCTGGGAGCTGTTCCGGGACGCGCCGCTGAGAGCTGCTCCGGGACGTGCCGCTGGGTTGCTGCTCCGGGACGTGCCGCTGGGAGCTGCTCCGGGACGCGCCGCTGGGAGCTGCTCCGGGACGTGCCGCTGGGAGCTGCTCCGGGACGCGTCGACGTCCCGCCAGTCGTCCTGCTCGCCTCAGCTCTGGACAGTCAAGCCACGGAGCAGCCCACCGATTTATGATTGGGATTTTGTCGTTCGCAGGGTCGGTGCCGCTCAGCGATCTTGATTTATGGACACGACTTTGGCTGAAGTTTTTTTCATAAACTGAATTTTCAAGAGCCGGTTCATTTCAGCCCGCCAACTTTAAAGCTAGCCTATTCTCTATGCTGTCTCTCACAAAATCCAAATAAGAAGCTGTCCATTTCGACAAATATAAAAATTAACAAGCATAGTCTGTGCAATTCACCATCTACCCGTTTGCTTCATCGCAGCATGAAAAATGTAGCATGTATTTGAGCGCATTTGGGATCTGCTTTTCCAGCCACCACTTGGTCATTCATCCCGTTTCTATCGACTTGGGCGGGCCCAGTTTTAAATCCTCTCTCATCTTAGTCCGTTTTGTTTTTGGCTTCTCGGATGAGCAAGACTGGTCCAAACATGAATATTCAGTCCATGGAACTGACAAATTCTTGAAGCCTCCCTGGCTGGCCACTTTTTGCTGATACAGGATCCGTTGAGCCGGGAGACGCGGAGTAAACAGCCGATAATTAATGTCTAGGTGTCCCAGTGCTCGTAAACAAATTAATCACGCGCGCCTGAGGAACAGGCGTCCCAAACAGCGCGAGCTGTGGTTCACATGATGACGGCACTCGTTCTCATTCCTCGGCCCACGCGCAGCGCAGTCCGGCATAACCTAATGCAGGTCCCGGAAAATGTAAGGCGTCGGATCAGGGAAGAAAAACATTGCCCCATTCTCACATACTCGAGCCGGCGCACAATACAGTCGATGGAGCCTGGTACTCGGCCCCGGAAAGCATAGAGCGTCGGGTCACAATAGAAAAGAGTTGCAAACAACGTTTCTTCACTTCCAGGTGATAAATAACATGCAGACACCATTAATAGCATGTCCTTTGAAGCGAATTTCTGCACAGGTGTGTGTTCGATTCAGTTTTGCTTATTTCAAATGGATTCGGATTCCCACAATTGAGAGCCTAATGATAATGGAAATAAAAACCATTGAATAACAAGTGAGCCCAAACATATTTGTTCCAGTCTATATAAGCAAGAAAGGCCTTGAGCTCTTATTTCTCCGTTTGATGAGCTCAGAGTTATCGTGCTGAGAGCTACCGACCCCCATAAACAGCGAGGTACCTACTGGTTAAAGAACGTCATCAGGCAAACATTGGTTGCATTGGTAATACTCAAGCATGAAATCAACGTTTGCTTAACAACGTGTACGAGTACCTCATGGTATGTTACAGATCGATGACTATGAATAAAAGAACTATGAGTTCATGAATATTTGTTTCGGCCATTTCCACTCCGATGCTGCCGATTCCTAAATCGAAACACAGAGAGAAGGTCTGAGTCAAAAATCAAATTAGCTTTATCCTATCAAGACACGCGACCAAAATAGTATAACTTTTTAGGTTTCCAACGAATCTTTACACCGATATTAATACTACTTAAACGTATATGATTTAGAAATACCATTTCCGAGCACCTAAATTCGAAATGAACATTGATGAACATAGAAGTGAGAATCAGCACCAGACATGAGTTGGTATTCGTGTCAGTTCATGTCGTATTAGTATTAGTCATCAGGCGTTAGTTCTCACTCTTGTCAGTTCGTAACAACTTTAAGCCAGCATGCAGTTAATACGCGCCCGGGTGGCCGGCTAGATACTCTTCACTCTAGCGGGGGTCAATTTGACCCTCCTGAGATCTCGGAAACTAAGAAAGCTAGAAGCACCAAATTTGCAGGGTGTGTTGACCTTTACGTGAACTCACTTAGGTCAAAATTTGAGGTTCCTAAGTCATGACCTTTGGGTCAAAAAAGTAAAACAGGGTCAAGTTCCAGGTCGGTCACCAAAGTGCTCCCAGAACCTAGATAACCGTTTCTAAGCAAAATGTCGCATGCTCATTTAAGGTCAGTGACCTTTTTTAACCATTTAAAGGTCAATGTGACAAACATAAAGCAAAATTGCTCTGAGTTTTGCATTTAACTAAGCGACAAAGATTACGCTAGGCAGTATGTTCCTAAAGCAAAACGTTTACCCGGGTCATTTGAAGCCAATGACTTATTCTGACCTCTAAGAAGTCCATGGAAGATGTATAATGCGGTTCCTGCTATAAATAAACTCGAAATGAGCACCAGAATCTATCCCATACAGCAAGCCCTAGGGAAACAAAACAGGTTGGTTTTAACCTTGACGTGACCTTCGCACCTGACCTTAGGTCAATTTAATTTACTCATTCAACTGTTGTGTTGCCTAAGAAAGCACCTCAGAGATGTACGGCTTCGTCTAAAACTCCGTTGTTGGATCAGATTGAAAGATTCCCTAGAAATTGCCTTCGCTGAAACCATGGCCTAACTTTGACCTGCCATAGGTCGGCGACCCTACAAGGTACATCTAAATTTTTGATGCAAGCGATCCGCTATTCAATTATCTACAGCTATGCAACATTTGGCGCGGCTTTGGAAACCATTCTGGAAAAACCTTGAGGGTCCATTTGACCCCCCCCCCCCCACCACCCGAGGGCGTGTTAAGCCTGTCAGTGGTATAGGTTCCTTTTTAATTGCGGGGGATGGGCTTTAGCCCTGCCAACGTGAATGCCAGCTCCCCACTCCCAATTATGAAAGGCAATTAGGTCGGATCCATGGAAAAATAGCTTGTTCGTGCATTTCGGTAGAAAGTTACGTCATCTTTTAACGCTCAGCCGTTAACGCTCCGGGAGGCTGAACGTTAAAAAGTAACGCAACATACTCCCGAAATCATGAGCGTGGCCTTCCAACATGAGTCGGGTCGCCCATGATGCGTGGCACGTGCTCGGTCTTCCTTGGTGCAATCCGCCTGTTTTAACTAGGGTTGAAATGCGCCCACGAAATTTTAAGGATTCATAGACTATTTCACAAAGTGCTATGATCGTAATCGTTTTTGCGAGGGACAGGTTTTTGCGAGGAGTCAACACTGTTTTGTTTTTAAATAAGTTAAACTCATAAGGCGTTCGCATTGATTTCGAAGTTCTTCCCTTCATTGACACGTACGCAAGAGGTTATGCGAACAGTGTACATTAAACGGAAAGAGAAAAAAGACTTTTTGTGTCTTGTCTGTCGTCCTTGATATCAAGTTCAACAAGGAAATGTACTTTGTATAGATATTAATGACAATCATAAGTTACCAATAATGACGAATAAGTAAGGTAATAGCACTTGACAGCGTCTTCAACAGAGTGCTCCAGCGTCTCCAACGACAGCGTCACCAGTTATTTTCTCTTATAATCAATCAGACATCAATCAGACGGCCTCCGTTATCGTTATATATATATATATATATATATATATATATATATATATATATATATATAGTGTGTGTGTGTGTTGTGTGGTGGTGTGTGTGTGTGTGTGTGTGTGTGTTGTGTGTTGTGTGTGTGTGTGTGTGTGTGTGTGTGTGTGTGTTTGTGTGTGTGTGTGTGTTGTGTGTGTGTGTGTGTGGTGTGTGTGTGTGTGTAGTGTGTGTGTGTGTGTGTGTGTGTGTGTGTGTGTGTGTTGTGTGTGTGTGTGTGTTGTGTGTGTGTGTGTGTGTGGTGTGTGTGTGTAGTGTGTGTGTTGGTGTGTGTGTGTGTGTGTGTGTGTGTGTGTGTGTGTGTGTGTGTGTGTGTGTGTGTGTCTTTCTATGTTATCCCTATTACACAGGGTCTCGACACGGACGCCAAAAACCAGTCGGTTCCGTGTCGGTCTGAGCTCTCGGGCTCATTTTCCAAGCAGGAATAAGGTCGGGCCCGCAATTTGCATTGGTCGGCGCCCCTTTAGCAATGCGGGGCTCTTGTGTTGGTCAGTGTCTCGCAGTGCCTAACCGAGTGTTCTGTACCAACAAGGGCCTCGAGTCGATCAGGAGAGCATTTGCTGAACCGGAAACGGGGACAGGACCCCAAAATGGTAAAATACCTCTTGCGTTGGTCAGGGCTCTGTGGCAATGAACGGAAGCATAGGAACTTATGAGTGTTCAGTTGCGACAATGGAAGGGTCCTGTGTCAGTCAGGGCCCCGGTACCGAACATGAAGCTCTTCATCCCAGTTCCAGCACAGACCCGTTAAGCCGAGCTTGGAGTTTATTTTGCCAATTATTGGACCACCTGCGGCGATCAGAGATCTTGCTGCGTCAGTGAGTGTTTACTTGCGCCCATCCGAGGCCATCTTACGTGGGTCAAAGAACCTCCCGCGTCAGGGAGGAAGACCGATGCGATATGAAGATTTTCTAAGGGCCCCGGATCGACCAGGGCATCCCAACCCCCTGTCGCCAGACTGGCAGTCGGAAGGATCATTCGATGGGGCGGAGTGGCCCTTCACTCCTAGGCCTGGAAAGAATAATGACCCCATGCCTCCCCCCCCATGGCCCATGGCCCCATTGGGGCCCAATGGCCCCAAAGTGTTTCTACTCAAGCGGCCCTTTGTCTGGATAAATTAAGGGTATCGTTAGTGTGGAAATGAGTGGGTAGAAATAAGCTTAAAAATGAAAAAGACTGTAGGTAAAGAAGCTTAATGCTGCTTAAATACCAGGACGGTGCGTTTTTTTTTCCATTTCTGATATTGACCTCTGGACGGATATTTACAGTTACAACAATACGAAGAAGGACGCACATTTACTCTTTCCTGTTTCACACTACCAGATCTTCGTCCCGCGC